TTTGTTCCAGATCAGATGCTTGCACTATCATCACGCCTGCTTGGGCCAAACTTCAAGGTCAACATATGTATGCATTATATGTGCTTTTTAGACCGCTAGATACCAGTAGATAATCTATTTGAGATAACTGCTTATTTTTAAACTGAGTTTTATGTGTAATCATACTAACTTGGACGCTGGTGCCTCTATACATCAAGAAGGCCAAAGAGCTACCGTATATGAATTCTGCCTTTTATAAAAATAAAAAAGTAATATAAACACAAACTGCCATTTACAACAGTATTTAGGTCTCCTCCAGCAGTCTCCCTGCTTTGAAGAAATATTACATTAATGTAACAAATTTTGTAAGGAATAAAGCTTGACCAGAATTTGGATCAGATTAAACCATTCATTTTCCATCCTGCCTTTAAAACTATATCACTCGCCTGGGTATTGTAGGCTATACTACTGAAACTTTTGCTTCTTCTTTTGGTTGTAAGTGTTCTTACTTACCTTGACTTTGATGTTCCTGGTGCTGTAAAATGTTCACCAAGACAAATGGCCTTCAACTAATTTTTCAGGATTATACAGGAGTGTTTATTGTAACAAAGAGATTGTTGATTTAAAGCAGAGTCTGTTGGCCAGCGGAAGGATGAGGAAAATGTGCTGCATACTCCATATAGCTTTATTTACAGTTCAAAGCTGGTATATTACAGAAAGACATCTTGCCTCTGTGCCGGAGCAGAAAAATGCATCCTCTCTCCTCGACAGCTTGGAGAGAAACACAGTGAAAAACAGGAAACCAGTGTACGTCACATCCAGTCTCCCTTTCCCGTGAGAAACCCAACAGTACAGACTGTGGAATGTAAACACCTGTCTTGTGACTGCAGTTGCTGCTCAGTGAAGGAAATAGAAACCAACATCCTCCCCTTTCTGTGAACATCACTGGGCAGCGTGTTCGCACAATATCAGTACAAACCCAACTTCTGCACATAGGTACAGTGTTGATCCCTTGATACAATCTTGGACAATACATCAGCAGGAATTTCATTACCTGGCATATAGGACACCGTTACGAGTCCCTTCTGAATACATTCCCTAGCATGCTGCAACTTTAATTGCAAGTGCTTTGTGCTTTGCTTACAACCTTCAGACTTCAGCAAAGCCAAACATGCTTTGTTGTCCTGGTAAACCTGGATTGGACATTTGACAGGAATTTTCATATCTTTGCACAATTGTACTAACCATTCACAATCCTTAAGTGAATAAGACAGTGCATTCAGTTCGGCTTCACAAGTACTTAAGCTAACTGTTGTTTGCTTCTTGCATGACCAATCAAACAGACTCTGATTGTACATGTAGCAAACTCCAGACGTACTTTTCCTGTCTGTAGTGTCACTTCCAAAACTTGCATCTGCAAATATCTCAAGACCACCAGACTTCTGATTGTTAAATCTCAGTCTGTAATGCATAGTGCCTTTCAAGTACCGCGCTATGCGTTTCAGAGCTTTCCAGTGCTTGACACTAGGATTGTTGACTTGTCTGCTTAGCAAATTACAGCTAACAGCAATGTCTGGTCTTGAACATCTGGCAATGAAGTTTAGCTTGCCTAGCACACTCCTGTACAGTGTAGTGTCAGAAAATGCTTCTTCAGTGTCATCTACCTGATAACCTGTTGTCATCGGTGTGTCTACAGGGTTAGCATCCATCAGATTTAGTTTGCTTAACACATCAGCAATTTTCCGTGACTGGTGTACTAGAATGTTACCATCTTGATCTCTCTCTATTTCCAGAGATAGGTAGTTGTTTACCTCACCAAGATCTTTCATGTCAAAGTGCTCTTTCAGTTGAGCTAGGGCGCTATTGTACATTGCAACATCTTTCCAAAAGAATAATAAATCATCAACATAAAACAAACAGTACAGTTTCTTTTGCCCCTCCTCTTTGACAAATACACATGGATCAGCTTTCCCTTGCTGAAAACCTAGAGAAAACAATACTTCAGTGAGTTTTGTGTGCCAACACCGTGCACTTTGTTTGAGACCATAAAGGGATTTCTTCAGAGCACAGACAAATCCCTGTTTTACCTGTACGCCATCAGGTGGAAGCATATAAAGTGATTCATCTAGAGATCCGTACAGAAAAGCTGTATTAATATCATGGTGACTAATGTGTAGATTTTCCTCTGCAGCTAGCTTAAGCATAAGCCTAATGCTTTCATATCTCACTGTGGGTGAATAGGTCTCGTGATAGTCTTCACCTGGTACCTGTGCAAAACCTCTGGCTACCAATCTGGCTTTGTGTCTGACTATCTTGCCATTTTGATCTGTCTTCGCTTTGAAGACCCATTTGCTTCCAAGCAGTTTCATTCCTGGAACTACTGGAACTAGCTCCCATGTTTTGTTCCTTTCTAAGGAATCAAGCTCAGCCTTCATGGCATTTAACCATGGCTCAGCTTCCTTTGAATCCAAACCCTGGATTTCTTGGAAACTTGAAGGTTCAAATACCTTCTTGGAGCTTTTAACAGCTGTTACTGCTATCTTAGCAAACTCATCAGCAAATCTCTTTGGAGGTTTGCCTTTTGTGGCTCTCTGTGACCTACGAATTAGCCTTAAGTCTTCAACACTCTCCTCTTCCTTCTTAGGAGAAAAACGACCTATTGTGAACAATGGTTCCTCCAATTCTTGATCAGAGCTTTCAGAGGGTCGCATAGAGGCTTTCGCACTCTTGAAATCCTCTGAATCACCCGATTCAGTTTCAGATTCAGACTCAGAACCTTCATCAGTGGGTGTGGGCTGTTGTGGTCGCTTTTGACTATCCTCAGTCTCATCACCGTCATCAGGATAACATTGGAAAATTCCCACATTCTCCCCCCCACTTTGCATTGTACTCAACACTTCTCGTGAGCTTAATTGTCTTAGAGTCAGTCATCATTATTCTGTAAGACCCTTTCTGATAACCTAGAAAGATACCATGCAATCCACGCTTGTCTAACTTGGAGTTTTGTGGTGAGCGAACCCACATGTCAGAACCAAAAATCTTCATGTGTTTGATGTATGGCTTCTTGCCAAACATCTTCTCATAGGGGGTACAATCAATCGCTGAAGATAACCGGCGATTGTAACTGTAAACAAAACACGAGAGAGATTCGGCCCAATAACTCTCTGGAAGATTGGCATCATGCAGCAAGGTTTTTAATCCTTGAAGCAATGTTTGATTTGCCCGTTCCGCAAGTCCATTCTGCCATGGCGAGCGAGGACTAGACAAATCGTGTTGAATTCCTTTCTCAGTCAGAAAAGCTTCAAACTGCTGAGAAGTGAATTCTCCCCCGCGATCACTGAAAAGAGTCTTTATCTTCTTACCATGCACATTTTCCAACCAAGCACAGAATTCCTTGAACCTAGGAAAAGCCTCCGATTTCTGCTTGAGATTGTACACATAAATATATCTAGAAAATGCGTCAATGAGAACCATGAAGTATCTATTTCCACCCAAAGAGGGCGATAGTGGACCAACCAAATCAGCATGAACAACCTGGTATGGTTCTGTAGCTTTCCTACTAGACACCTTACCTTTCGCAGCCATTTTGACCTTGTTTGCTGCGCATGCTTTGCACTTCATGTGGTACCTGCAGGGTTTAATAGTCATACCTTCAACCAAGGCAGGCATTTTAGATACTGCCTCAAAATGCAAATGACCAAATTTGCGATGAAAATCGTGAATACATTCTGCATGCAAACTTTTGTTAGAACCTGCAATGCAACAAGTGTCATCCTGCACCACATCATCATAATACAAAACAAACAAATGATCAACATATTCTGCATGCAATACATAATCATTTTTCTTTGTGATGATGCACTTCTTGTTCTTGAAGGAAACGTCAATGTTCCGCTCATTCAGCTGTCCAACGCTGAGCAGATTATGTTTGGCGTCTGGCACGTAAAGCACATTCTGTATCGATAAGTCCAAACTGTGAAGAACAACAGTTCCGTAGCCTTTACTGGGAATAGTGTGGTCATCCGCCTGGTGAATCGCACCTTCCTGCGGTGTAAAAGATACAAACAGTTTCTTATCGTTGCACATGTGGTGGGTCGCCGCTGAATCAACAACGAAGAAAGATCTAGACGTCTTCTGGACCTCTGCAACCTTTGGAGTGAAGCGTGAAAGCATAGCCTTGTGCTGCGTTGTCCTAGACACCGGACCTTTGCCTTTGCCTCGGCCTTTTCGGCGCGATGAGCTTGCGCTGCGCTGCTCTGTCTTGGCCCTGGGATGTCTGCATTCCCTCTTCATATGGCCTAGACGTCCACAGGAGTTGCATTTCACTGCCTTCAAAGCTTTGGCGCCATCTGGTGGTTCCACTGCACTATGGGATGACGTCTGTGAAGACTCTCCCTTGCCCATGCAGCTAGCACCCCGGCGATCTGCTTCATTTAAAATCACGGCAGTAACAAAGTCCACTGTCAGCTGAGCTGTTGGTTGCACAGCAATCTGGGTTGCAACAGACTCCCAACCTGAACCCAAAGATTGTAGTATCATGAAAGAATACACAGCCTCTGGAAAGTTGAGTCCTCTCTGTTGCAGCTCATGTCTCAGATTTTGCATCTTCATCAGATGTAAACGCACATCTCCACCTTCAGCAAGAGCCATATTATGCAGCTTGTTAAAATAAAACATAGTGGACCCAGCTTCTGTCCTTAAGTGAGCCTCTCTCAGAGCGTCCCAAATTTCTCTGGCTGAGGTCTTATCACGCAATAGACAGAGCTCTTCTGGGGATACTATCAATGTAAGAGTTCCCTTGCTTTGGAATCCTTAGCTTCCCATGCATCTGTAACTGGAACTGGGGGGGCTTCTGTAATCACCTCAAACAGACCCTCTTTCCGCAGAATTGCCTCTGCATACTGAACCCAGTCGCTGTAATTTTTCTTGTTGAGCTTAGTAATCCCACAAGCATCCTGAAGGGCCATCATGACTCTGGCATTAGCCTTCAGCGTCATATGCTGCTTTAAATCTTGCTGCGTCACTGCTGCAGCTGCCTTATCCAAAGGCACACTTAAAAGTTACTTTCGATTTCCCCAGCATAGTGACTTGTGCCTGGGAGCCTTTTGCCTATTTGCAAAACCGGCTTTAAAAGTTCAAAGTCCAGCCATAAAGCCATTATCTTGAAGCTGGCAGGCTGCCCGGAGCAGTAGCACATACCTCATCAATCACTTCTACGCGCAGAGCAGATTCCTTTCCGATCCGTCCCTCTGCATTCCGATCCTTTGCCGGCACTCCGATTCGACTCCTGGAGCCCATAACCACGTGTTGATTTAAAGCAGAGTCTGTTGGCCAGCGGAAGGATGAGGAAAATGTGCTGCATACTCCATATAGCTTTATTTACAGTTCAAAGCTGGTATATTACAGAAAGACATCTTGCCTCTGCCAAAGCAGAAAAATGCATCCTCTCTCCTCGACAGCTTGGAGAGAATCACACAGTGAAAAAACAGGAAACCAGTGTACGTCACATCCAGTCTCCCTTTCCCGTGAGAAAACCCAACAGTACAGACTGTGGAATGTAAACACCTGTCTTGTGACTGCAGTTGCTGCTCAGTGAAGGAAATAGAAACCAACAGTATTTCCTTCTTGTAATGTGACTGCTATTCTTTTGCATGTTTCAGGATGATCACCCCTGTGAAATTAAAAAATAAGACTTTAATTTAATTTAACAATAACCAAAGTCTCTGCATCAGGGCAAATTTCCACTACCATCAGCACCAACGAGCATGGCCAATGGGCAGAATTGATGGGAGCTGTAGTCCAACAAGACGTGGAGGGCAGTTCATTGACTACCCTACTTTCTATTCTAATACAGTGGTACTTTGGGTTATATACGCTTCAGGTTATATACGCTTCGCGTTAAGAACTTTGCTTCAGGATAAGAACAGAAATCGTGCTCCAGCGGCGCGGCGGCAGCAGGAGGCCCCATTAGCTAAAGTGGTGCTTCAGGTTAAGAACAGTTTCAGGTTAAGAGTGGACCTCTGGAACGAATTAAGTACTTAACCCAAGGTACCACTGTAGTAAGTAACTTTGGGGAGGGGAATCAAAAGTCTTAATAGTACTTTGGCACTCAACAATTTTTAAAAGAAAAAAAGGGTTCACTATTTTTGAACAGTTCATATTGTTACCTTACTACTACTTTAAAAAAAATCTCAACAAATTGTCTGCAAAACCAAGAACAAGCCAAGTTCTTCACAAATCATGTTGGTATTATGTAGTTCAAAAGTGGGTCAGAATATTTTCCAGGATAAACATCCTCCACTCTGTATTTAGAAGTATGTAGGTCAGCACTGGCCTAAGCATTTAGAGTATCTTAAGAGGCAATAGTATCAAATGCCTTTATTTTCTTCTGCTGCTGACTTGTCAGCCTCTAAATGAATTAGGCAAACAATTATTATAATACAGCAAAGCAGCTATGGTTTTAAAGTGGGGAAAAGCAAAACCCCAAACTATGGAAAGCCAAAGCTTTTATTATAAAGAGCAGCAGGGCTACTTGTACCTAATTCTGGGACCTTGGACAAAGTGTTTGTTGCAAATTCATTCCTCTCCTGCTTCGCAGACAAACCACAAACACCCATTCTCATGCAATAGCCTTGACAGAGGGGACCATCAAAGCTCAAGGAAGGAGCCGGCCCAGCCATCAGACAAGCTGAGGTGACTGCCTCAGGTGGCAGCTTCCTCAGAGGCAGCAGGTCCCAATATAGATCTTTATTCCACCCCCCTTTGTTCCTGATGTAGATCTTCACTCACTTATACCAAGTCAGATCCATTGCAAAATCCACTGTTTCTTTCACGAGAGAACTACTACAAACCTGTCAAGCAGCATCATGGGATTGTTAAGGACATGGGATGGAGCTTCTACCAGTGTCAGAAACAAGGACCCCGGCATCTGCTGAAAGCCCACACCCCAGCACAGAGTCTATGGATAAACAGCACTTGAGACTTTCCCCTCCTCTTCAGCATTGCAAGCTGCTTGCTGAGCCACTTCTCGTCCTGAGCCAGATAATAGCTACGGTGAGAAGGAGCAGCTAATGCCATTGCCTGCTGGCTCATTGGCTCTCTGCCTGGCAAGCAAGCAGGTAGAAACAATTAGGAGGAATGGAAGCAGCAGCTGTGGATTAATGGCAGCGAGGAGGCAGAATGGGGGGGGGAGGGTCCTGGCCCAAGGGCCCTCCAAAATCTGGAGCCATAACTGGTTGGAAATGACATCTGGAAATACCATGTGTTCCAGGTGTCACAAGCTGATCCTTTGCCTTTCCCAGAAATAAAAGAAGTCATGCCATGCTTGGTTAATGGATGAAACAGCTAATGTGCCTTTGATTTCCAAAGCCATTTGGAACTGCCATTTGCTAACCTGTGGTGTTTGCCCACACCAAAATATACCTACATCTCGATCACTGGAATGTGTTGGAAGTAGGATACAGAAATGACAACCACAATAGTGTTTGTTGTCCTGTGATCATTTGGGTGCCCATTCCGCACTGTAGAAGGTATGTGCTGGCTACCATAGCCCTGCGGCAGGATAAGTACAAAATTTAAAGCACAAGTACACAGTTGTCATCCTTCTGCCCATACAGTCAGCACCTATGGGACTACCTCTCCTGGTATGCCCCACAGAGGACCTTACGGTCTGCAAATAATAACGATTTGGAGGTCCTGAGCCTCAAGGAGATTAGACTGGCCATGGCCCCAGCCTGGTGGAACACTCTGCCACAAGAGACCAGGGCCCTGAGGGATTTGACATCTTTCCGCAGGGCCCGCAAGACGGAGCTGTTCCGACAGGCCTTTGATCAGGGTTCAGTCTGACTCCCCCTCCCCTTTCATAAGAACTTGCATGAAAGTGGCCTCCCAATTTTTCTCACAGGCCCATAAAAGTTCAGCACAAACAGTTGGGCCTGGTGAACATTTAAGGTCCCCAACCCTAATCTGCAGGTTGCCATCTGATTGGACTTTATTCTGATCCTGATCTGATTTTAGGATGTTCTTTAACTGATTGCCTGATTTTATGTTAATGTGTCATACATTTGATGTTAGCTGCTCTGAGCCCAGTTTTGGCTTGGGAGGGCGGGGTATAAATACAAATTATTATTATTATTATTATTATTATTATTATTATTACTACTACTACTATTACTGTCAGCATTATGTAGTGGTTGGAGTGTTGGAATAACTCAAATCCCTGCTCAGCAAACACGCTCAATGGGAGTTCGAAAATCTAACCTTCTGAGGTTAAACTGAGGATAAACTGGAGGGGAGGACAATGAATACTATTTTGATCTCCTGGGAGGAAAGGCTTTTTAAAATTATTTATTTTTAAATAAAAAGGCTTTTTAAATTTATTTATGTAATTTGTTGCTTGCTGGTATACCAAAGAATATTTAGCAAGGTCCAGTATAAAAGTGAGCCAACTAGTTTCATACAATTTTAGGTTTAGCTGCTAAACTGCTTATGTGGCTCCTCAAATATTTTCTGATATCCACATAATTCTGGTATCGGTTACACATCCCTATGTGTGTAGAGGATATAAGTCCGTAAATTTCTTTGCTCTATTTTTTCCTATTACGTGTGAGAGCAGAAGGTTGAGAGAAAGAGTTACTTCAGTAACTCTATCTCTATCTTGGGTATGCAGTAGTCTGGAAACTCAGTACTAATGACCATTACTGTAGAAGTCGTGTGAGGATTTAAATTGCGTTCTTCCTTGGTAGACTCATTATCATGCTTACTGAGCTAAGATGTCCAGGTTCCCTTTTTCACCTTAGCCACTGCATAGCATCATTTATTTCCTGAGTTACTGAAGCCATTCTCAGGCAGAAAAGAAAGAAATTTTAAAAACAGCAAGGAAGGAGAAGACCAATTCAGCAGGCACATATACAGTGTTACCTCGGGTTACATATGCTTCAGGTTACATATGCTTCAGGTTACAGACTCCGCTAACCCAGAAATATTACCTCAGGTTAAGAACTTTGCTTCAGGATGAGAACAGAAATCGTGCTCCGGCGGTGCGGTGACAGCAGGAGGCCTCATTAGCTAAAGTGGTGCTTCAGGTTAAGAACAGTTTCAGGTTAAGAACGGACCTCCGGAACGAATTAAGTACTTAACCCGAGGTACCACTGTATACCATAGCTTGGTCTTCACAATTCTGAGCCTTGCTTGCTGTATTCTTGAAGGAAAGTGAGGACAGGTGACCCCACCTAGGCCCGAAGTCACCCCCCCCAACCAGGCCTCAAAACTGTTCAAAATTCCTTTTGTCTTCTAAAAATCCACAGCTACAGCTTTTCTGTGGATTCTCACAAGATGCTGGTACATAGGAAAAACCGTTACTTTTATCAGCACAAGAGGCTTCAACAAGCTAATGAATCGGCTCTGTTCAAAGCAGGCCTGAGAAACGAATCTTATCTCATTCTAGCTGCAACTTCTTGGACATGCTGAACCGCTCTCATTCCCCTTTCCTGGGAAGGGTGCCAAGAGTCCAATAGTCCCAAGACAGCTTTCTGTTCATGATCAGAGGAACTCAAGGCAGGACTCCTGAGGGAGGAGAAAGGGGAGGGAACTAGAAGGGGAATATATACTCTGTGCATATGACTGTGAACTCGTGCATGCTTTTTGTGAGTTATCACACTTGCTCCTTCTACCAGTTCATGGATGGTAGAAATAAAAGCTTTTTCTCCGAAACTATTCCTTGAGTGTCTGTTGACTCCCATCTCCCTTTCCCGGGCGCAATATTTTTCCCACCCGAGGGCAAAGCCTCATAAGGCTACATTCTCACACAGAATAGGAATGCATTTCAAACAAATGGAAATTTCCTCAACTTCTCTTTGCTATAAGACACCACGTTCAATATTGCCGACATGTTCTGCTTGTGGGCTTCCCATAGACACTGTGGGAAATAATATGTGGAACTAGATTCTTTCATTGCAGGGGTTGGACTAGATGACCCCTGGGTCCCTGCCAATTCTACAATTCTATGATTCCAGGCCTTTTGTCTAATACAGAAAGACTCTACTGTTCTTCTAACAGAAAGACTCTACTGCTCTTCCAAAAAGTCTGAAACTACTATTGTCCCACATACAGATTTTCAAGTCTGGCAGCTAGCAGTAACAACATTTAATTTATTTATAATGTATAAGATTTGCCACCCGGTTTTAATTATAAAATGATCCCACAGCAGGTTACACTATTGATAAAACACATGCAAACTGTCAATCAATAGTAAAACAAGAAAACAGTTGAAATCACATACCTAGTCAACTAGTGTTCTGTTCTGGCAGGTAGGCCATAAGCCACAGAATCCCATACACAATTGGCAAACGATGGTAGGAGAAGATAAGCATGCCAAGTCAAAGATAAACCAGGACCAGGCACAAGAAACTAATCTGAGTCCAAAACATGATCTAGGAGCAACATTAGAAGGAAACAGTTGAGGGTTCAGCAACAGAGGAAATCCAGTCTAGTCCAAGAGTCCTGTATCAGGGAGCTAGAAACACAGAAGGGGAACAATCAATAAAAGGGGATCAAATTGTAAAAAACTGATTATATTGTATTTGTTAAGTTGTGGGTGAACATATCAGATGACACAGTGATTCTTCAAACAGCTCTTGTTTATTCACAGGCCAGAACAGAACTGAACTGAAGGGTTCAACCAGCCTGCTTATATACAGCTCCACTACAACGCAACAGTAGCAACTTTTTGTAACTATCCAATCAATGAAAGTCACTTTCAATTCCTTATTTGCATATGTGGACCTGAGTGAAAACTATCTACAGTATCCCCCTGCTGGCCCAGGGTGAGAACTTCAGTACATAACAGTATTATTATTTTAGTGCCATAGGGGTATCGTTTGTATTCTCTGTCTCAGGCAGAAGCCGTAGACCCCTGGGTTAAGCTGAATTTCTATTTCTCCTTAAATGCCAGGTGTCCTAGGCTGATTGTTTCGCCCTCTTGTGCAAAACTTTCACCCACAAACACTTGTCCTTCCTATGCAGAAGAGCCTCTAGAACAAAAAGCAACCAATTTACAACTGAAGCTAAACAATTGATAACCAAACACAAAATGGTCGAAAGTCCCATTCCTTCACAATTCCAGCTACAGACATTGTCCGGAGACAGTAACATCCATAGTTCCTGGAAAGCGTCAGCACAGATTCCCATCTGATTTATTCAGATCACCAACAACTCACTGCCTGTCTGTGAACCAAACATTAGCAGAAATATAAAGGACTCTTGCTGCGGACTGAACAATGCTCCTATGGCTTCACTTTTGAAAAGATAATGGCAGCATCATTGTTACACTGTGCAAACTGTGCCAAGTCAAGTAACCACCACCCAGGGGTGCTTAATTCCTGCACAGTTATCATTTAAAACTGTGCCCAGCAACACTCATTTGACATGTAGGCATGTATGCTGCTCATTTTTTGTTACTCACCTCACTCTTTTTTCTTTCCTACTATATATTTTGGAAAGTTGTTTGTCCATTTGCTGTGCATTTGGACACTTTTTAGGATATTGCAACCAAATCTTGTACAAAGGTTTCCTGAGATCAAAGAGCAGCTTTTCATCTATGTTTGGATACAATTGGATGCCATTTTGAATCAAGCTGGTGTGCCAAACCTATCAAAATGGTAGTTGTTTTAAGAAGGACTTTAAAAATGCACTGGGTTTTTTGTTTGTTTGTTTCTTAAGCAATGCTGGGGACAAAGGCTTCTAGCATGTTTATAAGAGTCGATAAAAGAAGCAGATCTTGGTAATTAAGGAGAAATGGGTAATGTTTATTATTTATTTAAGCCATGCTTTCTCTACCAAAGCTGAGTGCAGAACAGGAAGACAAGGAAAGGAAAGGAACTGCCGAGAGAGCTTTGTGAATTTTAATGCAGTTTGTGAGACTGGATGGGAAGCAGAATGCCAAATCACTTCTGGCCTCTGTAGTACGTTGGGTATTTGGTAAGGCTATTTTAAGGCCAACTCTCAAAGTAAGAGTATCTGTAGTTTGTTGCCATAGCATGTTCTAAAGCCTCTTCATAAACTATGTGCATCAAAAGCATGAAAAGCTTTTTTTAAAAATCATTTACCTGCTCCCACATCTATCCGTAATTATTTCTCTTTTAGATTGCTTCCTATGAAGCATCTCAGAGCAATTTCACAAGGCGACAAAAACACACACACATATATAACAATTGCATATATAAGAATAATTAAAACAACTGCATATTTTTTTTAAAAGCTGCTGCCTATATAAAAAGTTTAAACCATTGCATATGTCAACGCAATCATCCCTAGCTAGCAGGACCAGTGGTCAGGGATCATGGGAACTGTAGTCCAAAAACAGCTGGAGACCCAAGTTTGGGAAACACTGATACAGAAGCAAAAATGTGCTCTTTTAATTCCCTCTGATTTCCAGCTAGAGATATTAACCATAATCTAGTCTAGCAACCTAGTGGGCAACTGGTGCCCCTGAGAAGCAACCTCCCACAAGCAGGAACATGAGTGTGATAGTACTCTCTTGTTTATGGTTCCCAGCAGTTGGTATTCAGAGCTCTACTTCCCCCGATTCTGGTATGGTAATATGGCCATAGTGATTAGTCGCTGCTGACCACCTTCTCCTCCATAATCTGCCGAATCTCCTTTCAAAACAGCCCAAGTTAGCAGCTATCACATCATTTTATTTTAGTAAATCCAGTAGGGCTCCAGTATAAAGGTAAAGGTAAAGGTACCCCGCCCGTACGGGCCAGTCTTGACAGACTCTAGGGTTGTGCGCTCATCTCACTCTAGAGGCTGGGAGCCAGCGCTGTCCACAGACACTTCCGGGTCACGTGGCCAGCGTGACGAAGCTGCTCTGGCGAACCGGCACCAGCGCAGCACACGGAAACGCCGTTTACCTTCCTGCTATAAAGCGGTACCTATTTATCTACTTGCACTTAAGGGTGCTTTCGAACTGCTAGGTCGGCAGGAGCTGGGACCGAACGGCGGGAGCTCACCCCGTCGCGGGGATTCAAACCGCTGACCATGCGATCGGCAAATCCTAGGCGCTGAGGTTTTACCCACAGCACCACCCGCGTCCCTGTATATTGCTCCAGTATATTGCAGTGTAAATAAACTATGCAGACTCCTTCTGCAACTATTTAATTTGGACTTCACATTCAGGCACTCACTGTCAACCAGCTTGTTCTTATAGAGTTTCTATGACTCTAGGATAACTTCTGGGATTACATATAAAATTTCCTTTTAGGTTAGAAGTCAATAGCTGAGCTAGGATGAGTTTAAACGTAATTAATTTGTTGGTCTTTATGCTGCCACAAGACTAACAGGACTATTCCTCTGGAAATTGTTTTTAAGGCACAGCTGTTCTAGAGTCATTTTTACAACCCCTTTACCATATAACATGTCCCTAAATTCTGGAGAGATTTAGCAAGTTAGGATAAAATGTACTTGAATTTTCCTTCCTATTTGAAAATGGACAAGGGAGTGCTAAAAAAGTATCCACAAAGACAAATCCACCAAACATCCCACTTCTCAGTTGAGTCCTTGGGTTAATTCAGTGGATGGCTTCCATTTGTTGCAAACTAATTTACAATGAAATGCAATCCTTTGTCAATTGGGGAGGGAAATTAGCCATTGTAATTCTGAGGTCCATAGTGTATACTATTTTCAGAAACTTTGGTAAGGTGAACAGTTTTAACATCTTCCAGAACATGCAAAGACACACTTTGCTATGTATGTACTTACCCAGAAAATAAAGAAAGATGAAGGATGTTTATGAATAGCACATGCTGCTGTTTACATCGGTTAGTGGAGTGCAACACAGTGGGACCAGATGTTCCTAACATAGACTGCCATCCTTTATTTTGAAAGATATTATTTGCATGCTATATAATCTAATGTGTCAATTAAAATATGCTCAAACATAATTTCTCTGCCTTTTTTTGCTTTGAAATTTGCTGTGATACAAAATCTGTGTCATGCCTGTCTGAAAGTTATCCTGTGGGCTGGTGTGTTACATTCTTGGTTAAAGTTCGTGGCTAGTGAGGAAAAGCCCCAGTTCAGGTGACTGACTAAGCCTACTAGCTCAGCTCAGTGCAGGAGACAGTACCAATTTTAATTTTTATTATTTATACCCCACCCATCTGGGCAAACAGAAGAAGAAGAAGAAGAAGAGGAGGAGGAGGAGAAGGAGGAGTTTGGATTTGATATCCCGCTTTATCACTACCCTAAGGAGTCTCAAAGCGGCTAACATTCTCCTTTCCCTTCCTCCCCCACAACAAACACTCTATGAGGTGAGTGGGGCTGAGAGACTTCAGAGAAGTGTGACTAGCCCAAGGTCACCCAGCATGTGGAGGAGCGGGGACGCGAACCCGGTTCCCCAGATTATGAGACTACCACTCTTAACCACTACACCACGCTGGCTCCCCAGAAAGACCAGCTCCTCAGGCCCTGCTCATCCGAAGGGCATAATATGCCATCCCAAGGAGAAGAGTAGTCATTGCTCTGGCTGTGATCATCATTGCTGTCATTGTCATGGTGTAGTGGTTAGAGTTTTGGACTAGGGCCAAATTTCATATCTCCACTCGGCTCTGAAGCTCATTGGGGGCCTCTGGGCCAGTCACTGTCTCTCAACCTAGCATACCACACAGGGTCATTGTGAGGATAAGATGGGGAGAAGGATATTCATGCACAGTACCTTCAATTCCATGAAGGAAAGGTGAGACATAAATGAAAAAACGAACAAACAATTCTGTGTTCCCCTTAACAATACAAGGCAAAAGAGAAAAAGTTGTCTCTTAGATAATATTTTGACAAACAGTAGCCTTACTGAATTTTTTGTTTACTGACTGAACTTGCTGAGTGCCTTTGATATTTTAGTACTGGTTTGTTGGTTTGTCGTTTGTTTATGTAGACAACTTACACACTTTCAGCAAAAGATGAATTCTCAAAGCAGTTTAATTTAACAGTGGCAAATTTAACAGTGTAAGAATCTTTATCTAGCAGTTCATCGCCACAGGATAGGTGAGGCCCAAGCTCCTGTTAAAGCAATTGATTTTGGAAAATGATTCTCTGTCACCCTTCTATTACAAAGAAAAAAACGTGATTCTGCAGCAGTAGGTTTAAATTGCACTCAAACCATTCCTAGTGATTGTAGTGACCTCTTGTGGCGCTTTTAGAATATTGTGTGTTGTTTCATTTGGGGGCCTTCAAAATTAAGTTGGCATTTGCCAATATTTGGTTAACAGGTTTTCCCCTCCTCACCCCTTCCTGCATTTAAACTTCAGGCAAGTTTTATTCACGCTTAAAATGTTATCCCCCTTCCTCAATCTGCTCATAGAATGATGGGCAGACACCTTCCTTTGAGCTCAAGGACAACTCAGTCAATATTGTTTTCTGACATCCTGACATCTCCTTTGCCTTGTCAGTCAGGGCTCACATATGGGATTGGGCTTTATGGGTAATGCTGATGGCTTGGGATAATGTTGAT